GGAAAGAGTATGAGAGAGAGAATAAAACCAGCGCTATGGTAACAGCTGCTGCTGAAATGTTATTTTAATCTGTACAATCAGTCAGTTCTCCAGTGGCCAATCAGAAGTCCTGCTGGGAAAGAGCCCCACGTGGCCCCACCCACTCTCTGAGAACACTGGATGGTGCCCCCAGGAAAGGTGTCAAAGAATGTCAGGGCATCTATGAGCACCACACTGGGAACCCCTGCTCTAAGTTTTACTTCAGTGAAGAAAGCTGTCTGCCAATGATGAATGACTTTTCTGATGGAGAAAAGCCGCTTCTGATGGGAAAGTCTTTGTTGAAGGAAGATTTAGAGGAAAGGAGTTGATTCCTATGACCGCTTTCCTCTCAGGAACAAACAGGATCCAGCCCAATATATCCTACTAGTTATGCTTTTTTACAGCATAAAAAATGAGGTATTTTAAAAATGAAAATACAAAGTAATGTTTTCATATTACTAATACATTGAATGTTTTATCTCAGTCAAGAAAATGTACACTGTATATTCCATTCAGAGTTGAGCTGAACACTGTGTCCCTTTGCAGGGCAAAAACATCCTTCAGGGATCCAATTTCATAACATCCTTGAGCTCTAGCAAGAATCTTGTGGGGAGCTGCCAGAGATGTTGTAAAGTACAGAGTTGTAAAGTGATACCTTTCTTCATGTAATCAATCCTGGGACTTTTTTTTTTCTTAAAGGATGGGACAGCTCCATTGTGGATAGCCTCTCAGATGGGTCACAGCGAGGTAGTGAGGGTAATGCTGCTCCGTGGAGCAGACCGAGATGCTGTGAGGGATGTAAGTAACTGCCATTTGTGGACTTAATGCTAGAAGAAAAGTGTCAATGCAATTTTGAGATATGGTAGATTTCTATGTTTAATCGTTTTATTTATTTGATATCCAGCCCTTCCTGCAAGGAACTGTGGGTGGTATACATGGTCCATCCATCCCCACATTTTATTCTCACAACAATCTTGTGAGGTGGCTTTAGCTGAGAAAGACTGTCATAAGGTCACTCAGGCTGTAACATTGTGAGGTTTTGAACCTGGTTCTTTGTAACACTGCACCACACTGGTTCACCAGTTATAACATAATCATTGTCTGCACTGTTAGCTTGGCTAACACATTACACAAGTGAACTTCATTGTGAAGGGCATTTCTGAGAACCCATAATTTCTTAGGCTTAGGTTCAAACTAGAAAATAGAAGAAGAGAAGAAGAGATTGGATTTATACCCCGCCCTTCACTACCCAAAGGTGTCTCAGAGTGGTTTACAAACTCCTTTCCCTTCCCCTCCCCACAACGACACCCTGTGAGGTAGGTGGGGCTGAGAGAGCTCTTGACAGAAACTGTTCTTTTTTCAAGAACAGCTGTGCCAGAGTTATGGCTTGCCCAAGGTCATCCAGCCAGGTGCAAGTGGAGGAGTGGGGAATCAAATCCGGTTCTCCCAGATTAGAGTCCGCACACTTAACCACTACACCAAACTGGATTATCCTGTATGGCTTGGATCCCATGGAACATTTTCATCGAAAAGATTTCTGTCAGCAGAATGGATTTTCCTAACTTCCATCCTCCTGCTGCTGCACAATTCCTCCCCCCAATTTCTTCTTGGAGCCAAGACACCTCAGGAACAGCATGAGGGGGAAATTGGGCAAGATCACACCATTTTCATTTGTGGATAGCCTCTTTGAGATCCCAACCCTATATGTTCCCCATAGCGCAAATTGCAGCTTTTGGGAGAGGGGCTTAAGGTAGAAAAATGATATGAGAGGAAAGAGTTAATCTCCTCCACTTCCATTCCTTGGTCACAGTCTGAGCTTAAAATACCTGTGGGAGATCCTGATCACAATTCTCCTGCATATTGTCCAATTTGGCTGTTACAGTCAGTTTCTTCTATATCCAGTATTGGGCTGTGGTGTGCCCAAAGTACAGGATGCATCCTTCAAAGAAGCATGTTCCATGGGACCAATTTGGTGATGAAAGCAAGTATGCACAGCACATCCTGCCTGCACAAGAAATACTGTGGTGTGTGAGTGGAGTAGCTAGCAGCCAATCATGATGGAACTGCCAGAGGGGAGGGGTAGGTGAGAAAGAAAGAGCTGTTAGTTCAAGCAGATAGGTTTTGAACCTTCTGAGGAAGAGAGACTGGAGGGATCCTTTCTCAGGGTTTGCCTTGTGTGTAAGCAGGCTAAACTAGTAGATGTGTGGAGACAGGGTTTGCCTTTCCAGAGTGAGAGTTGGGGGAGAGCCTGTCTCAGGAGACTTTGGGAAGTCTCAGAACCTATATTGGGGAATCAAACCCGGTTCTCCCAGATTAGAGTCCGCGCACTAAACCACTACACCAAACTGTAGCAATCTCAAAGCCCCAACTTCTGAAGGAAACTAGTGAAAGATTCATGGTTTTTGAGAGGAGCTCACATTCAGGGCTGGCTCCAGCTTATTTTGCACCCTAGGCGAGGACCCTTTCTCCCCCCCCCCCATGCGCCCACCAATTTTCAAAAATAAATGCATTTTAGGAAGAATGAAAAACACAAAAAACCAAGAAACTCCCAGAGTACGGGGCCAGGTGCAGTTTGGTGCCCCTAAGGGCCGTCCTGCTCTAGGCGATCGCCTAGTTCGCCTAGTGAGTGAGCCGGCCCTGCTCACATTTACATTGTGGGAATTCTAAGGCTGAGGGAAGGCCAGTATGCACCTCAGGGATACAAACTGCAACCTTATGAATGAATGGGCCCAGCAGGACTGTGTTATACCTGTAAACGGATTATATCCTTTTTTCTGAGTCACCTTATTACCCTGTCCCTGGGAGTAAATAAAAGTTACTGTTCTTTTTGTGTTTCTCTCATGGGTGCTGAGCTCAGAAGACACTTGGGTTAAATCTGTCAGGTGGAGGCCTGGGGTAGAAACCACACTGGTCAAGCTATATACCACACTACCTTTGTTTAAGCATCATTTTTACAATCTCAACCCCCTCCCCCCTTCTGGCCCCCACACGTATACTCAAGGGAGATTTCAAAATGTAAAAACATTGCAATAAAAGCAGTATAAGACATGACAATGCCATAAACAATATAAAAACAAAATTCAAATATTGGGAAATGATGCAGTCCCCTTTATAAAAGCATTCTCTTGAAAGATTCTGTCGTTTTCTGGAATGTTCCTTAATGCTATGGTCTTGAAGCCTTTAGGAACAGCATATCAAAGACTCTTCTTTCTTCCTATTGAAGTGAAAATATGTCTGAAAACAGCTGTGAAGTTGAGAATAGTGGATTGGAGCTGAGGTAGCATGAAGGCCATGAATGCAGTGATGATGTGTAAAAGCTACCTGTGGAGGAGGCTGTGCATGGGCTTCTCTTCGTCCTCCACGTGGGGTCCATAACATCTAAATTAGCTCTGGATGAGAGCTGTCATTGGGAGGGACCTTCCCATGTGAATTCAACTAAATGGCAGATGATCACTCTAACTCATTTCTCTTTCTTTTCTTTTGAAGGATGGCACAACTGCTTTGTTCAAAGCAGCAAACAAAGGCTATGCTAATGTTATAGAAGAACTGCTTAAATTTTCCCCTGCACTGGGTTTATTGAAGGCAAGTATTGAGAAACTCTTTAGGACACCCGGAAGTGCAATTCACTGGGAAGATGTGGGGCTTGCTTGGAGGATCAGTCAGTGACACTCCAAAATCCTAAACTGGTCAGCACATTCTCTTTATATATGGTCTAGGTGTTAGAGATGTCAGAAATGAGTCCTTGTGTTAGCCGAATGGCTTTATTTACAGCAATTTGCAATTTATAAACTGGTTCTTGCCAACTATACCAAGGTCCTGTTCCCACCAAGGGTTACCAGAGAAGGAGTCGAGGCTGTTGTTGTTAAAATAAATGTCTTTTACTTGAAGAATATAAATCTCATACAAACAATACTGATGCACTCACACATTCAGTCAAGTTCCTTAGAAATACAGTATTAAAATAAGCACTGTTGCATTAGCAGGTGGGGGTGATGATGGGCGATACTTATCTGTCTTCGCAGCTTTGGTTGTTCCAATGAAGAATGGATGGGAAGAAATAGAAATCTAGGGAGAATTCACACACGACTAGAACCAGCCAGAACGTGTGGGTCTCTTGACTGCAGATCAAGAGATCAAAGTAGAGGCAAGGGTTTGGGGATAGCAAGTGGGACTTAAGAGGAGTAAAAAGCAGACAGGGGTTGTTGTGGGGGAGATGCTAGTTGATCAAGTAGGAGGGGCCAGGTGACTGATCCTTACCTTTTATAGTGGATCCATTAGGTGGGAGGTAACTGTTCCAACCCGTGGACCCACCTACCTGTTAGTCCGTCCCAAAAACAATCCTATTGGTTACCTATAGGAGTGGGAGGTTACCTATAAGGAGTGGCCAATATTGTAATCTAATACCTTACTCAAAGAAGGGCATCTGGGCAGGTGTGAAAACCTCGGCGTCAGGATGCTTCATTGTCGTTTAGATGAAGCTGGCCATTCCATTGTAAACGAAATGTCAATTTGGCAGGAAATACCAATGCAGGAAAAAAAGCAGTGATGGGTAGTACGTGACTACAACTAATTATGCAGTGGGGGCTGTCTCTGCTCAAGTTGTTGTTTCTTACTGCTCACAATAATGGAGGTGTGTGCTTCTTCACCAGGCTGGTAACTGTGTAGCTGAATCCTTATTAACGTGTAAGGCTTGTGCAAGTACCTTCTATGTGTTGCATCACAACAGGTGACTTGGAATGTACAGTTCTCTGAGCCTATGTGTGTGTGTGTGCACAGTCCATTGTGTGTAGCAATAAATATAGTCCATAAAGCAAAATATCAAGTTCATTCTCTAACACTAGTTATTACAGGAGAATTGCTTGGTGGTTCTTGTAACGTGCATCTTGGGCAATAGAGCCAGGAGGGTGAAAGCTTGCTGTGCTACCTCTTTGGGGAAAACGTGAAAGAGCCTACTCCCCAGAACCTCTTGAGTCTTTTAAATGCCAATAGACACTTCTGGTGATATTTCATTATTCTTCTGCATATATCCATGTGTTTTCTGTTTCACAGAATGGAACCTCAGCTCTCCATGCAGCAGTTCTTGGTGGCAATCTGAGAGCAGTAGCACTACTCTTGGAAGCTGGAGCAGATCCCTTCCTTAAGAACAAGGTAGTGTGCATGTATTGATGGAACTCAGAGACTGTTACGAAACGTTCAATACACTTAAATAAGCCCTGTACAGACAACTTGTGTATTTATGTATTTGTTTTATGCAGACATTTATTAGACGCCTTTTGTCTTCAGGGTTCTCAAGGCAGCTTACAAATATAGATGAAACACATAGGATAAAGTACATTATAAACATAAAACCAAAATTTAAAATCACTAGTCAGGACTCCTAGTAAATTTAACCAAATGCAATCCTCAATAAAATGGTCTTCAACATACGTGTGTACAGGCCGTGTGCACTGGAGTGAGGTAGTGCAACATCCATTCAGCCTACCATACAGAGTCTGTGCAATAACTTTGTACACAGGCTTTGTATGATAGGCTGACTGCATGTGGCCATATGATCAGGAAGACACGAAAAGCAGTGTCAGCCCTTGAAGCAACCGTAGAAAATTTCCAGATTGCTTCTTTGGAATAAGATAAACAGATTACACTGATGCATTATAAACATCCACTAGATGGCAGCAGAACTACTTTCTACAGAAGAACCCTTTGCATTTTCTGCTTAACTTTTGTCTGCATTTCTTAATCTCAGTTACCCAGAAAACTATACGTGCTAACCATAATGCTGGTAATTTGCTAATGTGTATAGAAGTTAATGTCGTTAATTTCTTCAAGGAACACAGGAGAACCTGAAATCCAATTCAGTATGGGGTTTGTTCAGAAGCTACTGAATCCAACAAAACTTTTTTTATCCCTTTGTCTTAAATGATACCCTTGAGCATTTCTATGCAGCTAATACTGCTCCCAAAGATTATCCCTTTAGCTATACAACATAAAGTGTTTATCAAAGGCAAAAGATGTTTCATGAGAAAGGAACCTTTAGTACAGGAAAAAATAATAAAATCTCACATATAGACTGTGATGAAGAGGAGGAGGAGGAGAAGACATTGGATTTATACCCCGTTCTTCACTCAGAATCTCAGAGCGGCTTACAAACTCCTTTCCCTTCCCCTCCCTGCAACAGACCCCCTGTGAGGTAGATGGGGCTGACAGAGTTCTTTCCAGAACTGTCCTTGAGAGAACAGCTCTTACAGAACTATGGCTTGCCCAAGGTCACCCAGCAGCTGCAAGTGGAGGAGTGGGGAATCAAACCCAGTTCTCCCAGATTAGAGTCCGCACACTTAACCACTACACCAAACTGATTGCAACAATCACACTCCTGTGCATTTTACAGGTGCTGGGAAGACTTATTTGGCTGCTGTGTTGAATAGAAACCATAAATGCACATTAGCTATTGGATCTCTCTAGCAAGCAGTCTGTTTAGCTTGATCAGCTTTCCTGCTTCAACCCCAGCAAACTCTCCTTGGCTAGATGAGGCAGAGCAAAACACACAATCTCACAGCCTGAAATCATTCCTGTATTCCCTTTGAAGAGGGGAATTGCCCTAGTTTTTAGCATCTGTTCACCACTTCTAGTCATATGAGTAAAACCACATCAAAACGGAGTTGGTTAGTGGTATGTCAGCATGAGTTATGAACAGACCAATCCTGTTCCTGTTACTTGGCAGTGAAATTTCCATCGAGTTCAATAGAACTTATTGCAAATACGTGTGCATTGACTTGAAGGCATAGAATCAAAATCTAGGGTTTGTGCAACAGATTATAAGTAAATGGTTGTTTAGGGAAAGTTCAGAACCAAACAAAGGTTAGTGAAAAGGAGGGCCAATATTAAAACCTTTCCATAAAAAATAAAAAGAGGTACATGTATTTATTAATAATAACAAATTTTAAAATATATATAGGGGCCCATTTACAACCAATGTATATAAAACATAACAATATCAAGGGCTTAAAAAGTTGACCGTACGCGTTTCGGCCAAATAGGCCTTCCTCAGAGGTCATACATATGTGGCAAGATGGTTAATAATTATATTCACATAAACACAATCAGAAATATATACAAAATATAGATTCAATAAGGACCATAAAGTAAATTGTTCAAAATTAAAATCACCAGGCACAGGGTAAATATGCACATAAGACCTTTAAAGTGCAATCACTAGCCCAGTGGCTATAAAATAAACTTATGGTCCAAAAATTTCCTTCTTTGATTGTGTTCCCACAGTATTCACAAGGGAAAGTTACCATGAAAATTATGTAACATTACCCTAACGATGACTATAAATGCTGACTATTTTTGATAACATCTCTGCAAAAATGTCCTCTTGTAACCTTTATGGGTTTTTTAAATATAAGGTACAGTACATGCTGGTTCTAACAGGTTAATTTGCCCCTACTCAATCCATGCAAAACTTATCCTGCAATGATTTCCAGTCAGTTTATTTTGTGGTGTTACTCCAAAAATGCATTATAAGTCTATTTTGAAATATGGTTCCTATTGAGCAAGCCTGTTGAAAGGCTCAGGAATGATATACTGTCTAATTGTTAAGAGTATAACAAAGTTCTTATAAGTGACCTGGAGGAAGACATAGAGGGGGTGGTTATCAAATTTGCAGTTGACACAAAGCTGGGTGGGATTGCTAATTCTGAAGAAGACAGAGTCAGGATTCAAAATGATCTAGATAGACTGGAACAGTGGGCTGAGACAAATAAAATGAATTTCAATAGAGATAAGTGCAAAGTCTTACACTTAGGTACAAAAAATCAAAGGCACAGATATAGAATGGGAGGGACTTGGCTCGACAGCAGCACATGTGAAAGGGTTCTAGGTGTTCTGGTTAATCTCAAGCTAAACATGAACCTGCAGTGCGATGTGGCTGTGAAGAAAGCTAATGCAATCTGAGGATGCATTAACAGAAGCATTGTGTCCAGATCAAGGGAGATGGTAGTTCCACTCTATTCTGCTATGGTCAGGCCTCACCTGGAGTACTGTGTCCAGTTTTGGGCATCACATTCTAGGAAGGATGTTGATAAGCTCGAGCGTGTCCAGAAGAGGGCAACCAGGATGGTGAGACGGTTGGAATCCAAGACTTATGAGGAAAGGCTGAAAGACTTGGGTATGTTTAGCCTGGGAAAGAGAAGGCTTAGAGGGGACATGATTGCAGTCTTCAAGTATTTGAAGGGCTGTCATGTAGAGGATGGAGCAGATCTATTCTCTCTTGCTCTGGATTGCAAGACTAGATCAAATGGGTGGAAATTACAAGGGAGTCGTTACCGGCTAAATATCAGGAGAAGCTTCATAACTGTAAGAGTGGTTGAGCAGTGGAACAGACTGCCTTCGGAGGTGGTGGATGCTCCTTCGCTGGACGTTTTCAAGTGGAGGCTGGATGACCAGGGGTCATTTCCTGCAGGAGCGCACAGGAGCGGAGCTCTGGCAGTAAGGAGCCCAGGGGGCGGGCACATGCAACAAGCCTCACCCCCTGCTCCCAGCAGCCCTCAGTCAGAGCAAGAAGCAGGCAGGTAAGCTGCAAAGCCCCCCCCCGGCCCAAAACAGTCCAGTGGCATCTTTAAGACCAAGTTTTATTCAGGTACAAGCTCTCCCTCCTCTGTGAGGACAGATCTGCATGTGTCCCCACCCCCCAATAGCTAGCAAACCAAAACAGTCCAGTGGAGCCTGAGCGGTGGGTGTTGCCTTCTGACACACTTCCGGTGATGTCAGGGGGTGTGGCATATGCAAATAAGTTATGCTAATGAGCTCCTGCACCCCTTTTTCTATGAAATGACCCCTGTGGACGACCATCTTTCAGGTATGTTGTAGGGCTATCTTTCGGCTATGCTCCTGTAGAGTGCAGGGGGTTGGACTAGATGATCTTCAAGGTCCCTTCCAACTCTAACATTCTATGATTCTATGAAAGTTTGAGTTCAGTGACATTTTTAAGACCAACAAAGTTTTATTCATGGTATGAGCTTTCAGATACATTGAAATGGAAGTAAGCAGTGTGCCACTGCTGCTCACCTGAATCTGTTAAGAGTATAGTCCACAGTTGGATGCAGATGCTCTTTTGTGAACTCCACATTCAGGCCACACCCCAAACCACCTGTCTGTTTTCCAGCCAAGTTCTTTCTTGTTTCAGAAAAATGAACTGCCTTCAGATCTTACAAAAAATGACCGCATCCTCCGGCTCCTGCAATCCAGGGGAAAGCACAGAAAGAGCTAATGCAAGAGCACGCTCTGAGAGAGCAGAGAAGCCCTGCCTACTATGAGCCCTTGAGCAAAGCTGGTGTTCCTGCAGAACTGGAAACGTCTTGCTGAGACCTGAGCATGTCCTGGCTCTTACTCTGAGAATGAGCTCAGGACGCTTCAAGGAGTGGCACTGCGGAGGCATCGGTTTTATCCCACTGAACTCACCAGGTTTCTGTTGCTGGCTTCAGTCCAGAGGAGGTTTTTGTCGTCTCTAGTGTAGCGTTCCCAAATGACAGCCTTTTCTGCCTCAGAGAAAGCTTCTTTGCTATAGCCTCACCTGTTCCATCTGATTCTTCTGTAGTGGTGTTGCACTGGCCTTCCCAGTCCTCTCATAACTACCCAGGCACTAACCAGTTCTTTAAAATATATAATGGGATAGCCATATTAATCTGTTGCAACACAAATAAATGGGTCTTGTGGCACCTTAACGACAAACAGAATTTCCCCCCACATAAGCTTTCGTGGACGGAAGCCCATTTCTTAAGACTCACTTTGTATTCATTTACCTGGGAAAAGGAAAAAACCCAGCAGGGCCTCATAAAATGCAGTTAACTACAGAGTGAAATGTGAGTATATGAAGTTGGGGGTGAGAGTCCAAAGCTCCTACATAACATGATTGCAAAGTGAGGATTCACTTACAACACTGAAATGGATTCACAAAAATGTATGCTAAAAATTTTTTTTTTAGTTTAAGGTGCCCCAAGACTCCCTTTTATCTTGAAATATGTCAGCTTGGCCAGTTTGTTATGAATTGTTCCCATACTGTATAGATGGAGAGCAGGACATTGCACTGACTGGTTGGTTTCCCACGAGGCTTCAGCCCTTCTCCTAGCAATTAATTTGAATGCTTTCCTGCTCAGCAATAGCACAGCGGTTTGCAAGAAAAATGTGTGGGTCAGTCATTTGCAGCACTGTCAAGCTAATCCACACCACTGCTGAATCTCAGGACTCCAGTTGTCACACTGGGATGCTCTGTCTACTAGAATTATCTCACACACAGATCCATCGTAATATTATAAGACACAGAAAGCATGTATGATTGGGCCTCACTTTGCACTGATAGCATACCATGCAGAGACATAATATATTCCAGTGTTTTTGGAATTGCATAGCCATGCAAAAAATGTCATGGGCACTGTTGACATGTGAAAGAAATAGACAAGTGAGCCCATTAAACAGGAAAAGCTAGAAAGCATATATAGCATAGTGTTTACAGACTGCATGAAATAATTTATCTTTATTCTGAGACTGAGAAACGTAAATTAGACAGAATAATCATTTCATTCACAAACCCATTATTTAATGTAGCTGCGAGCTTTTCGAGTTTTCAAGTCTCTTCGTCAGACATTGGTTGTTTAGAAAAAAAGCAAAATAATACAGGATGGAATAAGTTCCTCTGTGTCTGTGTGTATACTTGTTAGTCTTGGCATCATTCAGGATTAATTCTACAATCATCTTTGATCTAGCTGAATAAATGGCTAATTGCTCCAAAAGAGAGTCAGTTATTATATCTATACATTGTGTTTCTTCATTGTGGCCCATACATGTATCAGCATAGTCCATATGAGGGTTGTTGGTTGTTTATTTATGTATTTACGTTATTTATAGTCTGCCATTCTCACTGAAACTCAAGGTGAATTGCATTGCGGAAGTCAAATACAATCAACAGGATGAAGCATCCAATAAACAAAGCAATAGGATTTGCACTGTGGAAATCTGGAGCCAACCAGAAATCTGAAACAGAGCTGAAACAAACCTGATAACAAAGTATAATCATTTAAACATGGCACAGTAAGTGATGCAGAAATTACATAGTAGGGGCATATGTACTGAACAGCCTCACCATTACAACATTTTATATTTTTTTGGCTGCCGATTTCTTTCTCTATTGTTTTGGCCAGCGGGGGTGATAGTATGTCCCAAGACTAAATAATGTTGAGGCTTGCTGTTTTCACCCACAATGATTCTGTGGAATGTTTTATTCCTATTAAGTTTTCTGAAGTTGGATGCATGCCCTGTTGAGATCCCACATCAACGCCTTTCTAGCTAGTTTTGCACATGGAACAGAAAGATTTTAACTTTCAATGTTCTACTTAACCAGTGTACATTTGTCTTCTAGGAGCTCACACCTACATCTACAGGGGGTAGGAATGAATAGTAAGAGATACAGATGCAGTCAAGATAATGCAGATCTGTCTTTTTTGTCTGATACAGCATAAACTGGTGGGACAGTGCAATCCTAAGAACACTTTCCCAGGAGGATGCCCCACTGAATAAAATAGGATGTTCTTCTGAATAGACCTCCTCAGTATTGCTCTCGAACAGTAGCATCAACTAGCTTTGAAGGGTATATCTCTGCTTAGTATGGTGCTTTTAAGTACTGAGATTTGTAATGGAGAAATATAGGATTGGATGACTTTCGCCCTAGGTCCTGATCTCTTTTGAATATTTTTTTCTTAAGAAATGCTAATTACATGACTTTAGTAACTTCAGTTCATATCATACAAAACTTTGCAATCCCCCATATATAACCATCAACAGAAAAGCCTGGTTATCCATTACAGATTATTCTGTGTCTATATCCCACAGTTAGTTTGCCGCAGTCAGCTGCAGGTTTAAGGATAGTTTGTATTTTATTGCATTGCACCACTGGGACGACACCATCCTTACATAGCTGAATAGATTAACACATTGCTGAGCAAGTCAGAACTACTGAAGAATTATTACCAGATAAAGCCAGTATTGCTCTTAAATGATGCCAGTATGTAATGTATTTCAACCTGCGATACCAACATACAGGTGTTATGAACACTGCACAGTGAAGCAGTTATTAATGCCTATCAGCCACTGTATATTGGACCTGATACAGAAACTGGAGTTTAGAATAACAGGGCAGATGCCCTTCTAAACAGACACAATGCCAATTCAATTGGAATGCTTACATGAATAAATGGTGCTAAAAATTTCTTTACCTTTGGCTGATCATTTTGCCGCAGACTCTTTTTCTAGCACAGTCAGGGCTGATGCTGACTGACACCAGAGAGAATATACACCCTGTGCTTCCCCCGGCTGAATGGTCATTGTTGATGAGATCATGGTGTCCATGTGAACTGCTCTGCACTGTTGTCTTCAGGGACCATAGCTATAGCAATTACAAAACAAATGTCATGATACAGAAGAGGAAAAATGGGGCTCTAAGCTGCATGAAATTAAAAAAAACAACCTACTTGAGTGGGTTATAATGCTGCAATTTCACATATTTAATGCTTTTTGTTTGATGATGTTTCATGTGGTTCATATAGTATTTAACAAATATATGGGGAGTCATGAAATTTTGCATGCATGACGGCTGGTGCCTGATCTTGTTGTGAATGAGCAACTTCTTTGCCTCTCTTTGACACAAGGGCTTAAATTATATGTTTAAAAATCAATTAATTGACATGCTGTGTCATTCTAAGCATAGTTACATCCTTCTAAGGCTGTTGTGGTCAATGAGATATAAGAAGAGGTAACTGTCGTTCGGATTAAATTTAAAGTATGTCCCATGTTCTCCAACTCCGTAATGTGATTCTTTAGAAGGTGATTGAGTACAAACTGTTTTCTCTGTTGATAGCTCTGAGGAAATAGATTGGATAGCATGCCATCATATGAACTGTAGTGAAGACCCTGGCGAAAGGAACATTCCATAGTTAAAGAATGGAAACAAGAATTATTATTCCCCGTAGCCATTTTCTGGATTTGGGATTCTCTGTGGCTATTTTCTGGGTCATTTTCAAACTCTGGGCATGATTGCTGTTCTTCAGAAATGACTAAAGTTAGGAGAAAAGTAGCGAAGCCTTCTAATTCACCTACTGTGGAATTTCTCTGGTGGGGTGGGGTGTCTACTTTGGGCTCCTGGACAAGTCCAAGTATTTTCTCCAGCTAGGAGGAAAGAGCTACAGTTACCAAATTATAGCACTATGACTCTTTTCTGGATATCAGGGTTCCTTGGAGATGACCATCATCTGTCCAGACATAGCCACAACCTGTTGGTTTATACAATTCCTCTCTTGAAAAATGTGTGTGTGTTTGTGTGAAATGCAAGCTGTCATGTCAGCAGACCATGCTAAATGTATTTTTATTGTCAACCGGATTAAATACTGGGCCTTTCCAACATTTTACCTTTCCTCTTACATTTAAAAATCTTAACTTTTCAGTAGCTAAAAAAATACAAATAGGAATGGATCCTGCTCTTGTGCAAGGAGAACAACTTCCATTTGTGCTGGGCAGGTCTATAATTTCTACAGATTTCACCCTTGAGCTGTAGCTCGCCTGTGCTGTTTATTCCATGCTGTTGCTGAAGATTGCCTGAGGCTTGGGAGTGGCTGTTTGAGGGGTACAAAGACTTGCAGAAGACAGGGGGTGGTAAGAAAGATTTATTCAGTGAGTAGAGTAGAACTTGCAGTTCTTTTGAACCCAACCAATACACAGCCATCCCAATACACCCTTTCAAAGCTACATGACAATTTCATCCCCATACATGGACTACAATTTGACTTTTAAATGTCATTTTCTGATTCACAGTAGTTAAGTCTAAATTCCAATGTATTTAAATGAAAGCCTACATAGGGCACTGACATCAATATTAATAGGACTGTTCAATCCAGTAAGTTTTTTCCTGTGGATACAAGCAGGGGTCATTTCCTGCAGGAGCACACAGGAGCGGAGCTCCGGCAGTAAAGAGCCCAGGGGGCAGGCACATGCAACAAGCCCCACTCCCTGCTCCCAGCAGCCCTCAGTCAGAGCAAGAAGCAGGCAGGTAAGCTGCAGAGCTCCCCCCGGTCCAAAACAGTCCAGTGGCACCTTTAAGACCAAGTTTTATTCAGCTACGAGCTCTCCCTCCTCTGCGAGGACAGATCTGCACGTCCCCCCCCAATAGCTAGTAATCCAAAACAGTCCAGTGGAGCCTGAGCAGTGGGTGTTGCCTTCTGACACACTTCCGGTGATGTCAGTCCAAATAAATTATGCTAATGAGTTATGCTAATGAGCTCCTGCACCTCTTTT